CGAGGCTACGCCTCTCACTCGTCCTGTCGCAATGCCTTTGCGGCGGACTACCAAGCCTGGTCAACCCACAAAACCTTTTGTGCCCCTTCTGCAGCTGTGGTGAGCAACCATCCGCACACGCGTCGCACCTCTGAGGATGCCATGGTTGAACTAACATGATCTTGCCACGACCCTGCGCGCTGGACAGCCCAACTACGAGGAGCGCACTGATGCCAACGCCGAGTGTCGCACCAATCCTGCCCTGGGAGCCACGGCGTGCCGCTTTCGCAACATGGTCATGAAGGATGTATGTCAGCGATGGCTGATTGCCAAGTATTCTCTGCCTGTTTGGGGTGCTGAGGATGCGTCACTGATGGCTTTTTGGACACACCTTGGCTCGTGAGAATAGACGCAAGTCATTACGGCACCTTGTGAGATGAATGCAGCCATGGACGATCTCAAAAATCTAGACAACAGCATGGCCCCCTTTTTGGTTGGCCTCTTGGCTAGCGGCTCTGATGGCTCTGTTTTTGTACGGTTTTTGCTAATGCTCTTTCATCGTTTGCCAACCCCCATGCCCTCAGCGAGCTCGTTCACCTCACATCTCACATTTTGGAACCATGCAGTGTGCCAATGAGAAGCAGGATCCTTACGTTTTTGTTGCTGACAAGTTAGCAGGCGCACCTGAGATGCAGGCCGTGATCCAGGTGCGACTTTTGCGTTGCTGCGTCGCTTGATTTGCATCCTTGTGTTTGCTCGGTTCTTGGAGCCGCGCGAATGAGTTGCGCTCAAGCCCAGCTGCAACTCAGAGAACGCATGCTGACATGGTGCCTATTCGATCCTCCTCGATCATGCTAGGCCGTGAATCTGTTTCATTACGACCTGCGACAGAGCGTCATTGTCTTGACGCATCCGGTGCGTGCTCCTGAGCCCGCATTGCTCAGGCCATTGCCATCCGGTGTGCTTCCAAACGACCGATGTCATTCAATCTCTGTCTTTGTGCTCTGCGATCGCATCTCCTGTTTCTTCCTCGTATGCACAGGAGGCTTCCGTGTCATCATGGCAGGGCTTTACACGCAAGGTCATCCGACTCACCGACCTGCAAAAGAGCACATGCTTTCGCCGTGCCGTGTTCCCAGCCTATGGCTACCAGTAAGAGAGCACGCAACGCACCCCGCACAGCTTTGGACAGCATCATAACCTGCTAGCTTTTACCTTGCGGGCATCATCTTCTCACGCACTTGCCTCCCCATGGCCTATATATCTCAGGAGTCCATTTTTGCAAACCCTCTCGGGCTGTTCGGTACGTTTCTGCAATAGGCCCGTCTCGACTACGTACGGTGCGCCACCTCTCACCTTGGCATTGGTGTTGCTGCATTCTTATCTAGGGCGAGGCCAAGGATCTATGCGAAGGCTATCGCAACAAAATCCCGGAGCGCGCCCACGCGCCAGCCTGCCCTGCCTAATTTACACCCAGCTTGCCAACTGATCAATTCATTTTTTTTTTTTCGAAACAATTTGAGTTTTACTGAGACCTTAAGAGCTGCCGAAAACGAGTGTGGCCCGTGGATCGCCTCGACATGGACAATGGAACAGCAGTCACAGTCTCACCTCCCAGCACCCAAGGAGCTGAGCTGTTCATGATGATTCAACTCGCATCATCATGAACACAATAATAATGCAAACCGTTGTGTGTGTATGCGTGTGTGTGTGTCAAAATAGTCAGCACACACAAACACACACACACACACACACGCTTTGTTTCAAAGGTGTGTGTTTCAGTGTGTTTTGTGGTGAGGATGATCACTTTTTTTTTTCTCTTTTTTTCTCTGACGCTGACCGTGCCGGGGCGGTGTGGCTGGATCTTCAAGCACCAGACTTGGGGTGGGGGCGAGTTGATTCGGCGTGTTTAGGGCATTGGTTGAGTTGTGTGCGTGTGGGGCAGGCTTTTAGGAAAGGGCAAGGAAGTGTTTGGACGAGACGTGTACGAGATGGCGTCGCGAGATGAGTTTTTGGCCAGCCTGGCCGCTGGAGCTGGGGCAGGCATCGTGGTGGATGTAACCATGTACCCCATTGACACCATCAAGACCATGTTGCAGGTAGGCCTGTACCCTTGGGCAAAGGCGCGCTGCTGCAGCGCCGGCTTGGTCTTGGATCCCGTGCATAAAGATGGTGATGCTTCAAGGGCTATCAGCCAGCCTCATCCAGTTGTCACGTGTTTTGCTGTTCTTCTTTTCCGTCTGCCTCTGGATCCGACACGGCAGAGCAATAAGTCACTCAAGGATGTTGGTGGTATCCGTGGCATGTACCGAGGTATTAGCAGTGCCGCGGCGGCCTCGGCACCCTGTGGTAAGTGTGCTGAAGCCCAAGCGCTATCATTGTCACGTTCTAGCTGCAACTTGATCGATCGATGCCTGCTCTGTTCCTTGATAGCCGCAACCTTTTTTGGCACCTACGAGTTCACCAAAGCTGCCCTCACCAACGAGTTTGGGGAGGCATATGCCCCTCTTTGTCACATGACTGCTGCCTCGGCGGGCGAGACGGTCAGGCCCATGTCCAACTAGCCTTGTGGTTTTCATTTTTCGTTTTTGCCAGAGGCCATGCGTCGATCTCATGCACTTTCTGGTCGTGATGTTCCAGGCCGCGGCCGTCATTCGTACCCCCTTTGAGATTGTTAAGCAACAACTGCAGGCTAAAATCCACGACCGGCCCACCACGGCCGTGCGCCACATCTGGCAAACGCAGGGTTTCAAGGGCTTTTTCAATGGCTATTTCTCCCTGGTTCTGCGCGAGGTGCGCACGTTCTCAGGCTTGTCTCTGCTTTCCGTCGGCCTTAAGGGACACGGGCCTTAAATCATGGCCCTGTCTTGGCCACGCCAAACTAGTGCAACTCGTGCTGATGCAGACTCGCTTTTTCTGTCTTTGAAACAGGTGCCCTTTTCTTTCATCCAGTTCCCCTTGTATGAAAAATTCAAGGTGCGAGCTGTGCAAGCGGCGTCATGTCTGGCATGGCGAGTCTGAGGGAACAGGCATGGAGAATAAAGGCAGATCGTCAGATTTGGGGGTTCTCACTTGTGTCTTTAGCATCTACTGGCCGAGCACGTAGCCAACACGACAGTGGCAGATCTTCCACCTTTCTTTGGCTCCTGTGCAGGTGCTGCTGCCGGTGGCATTGCGGCTGCCATCACCTGCCCACTTGATGTGGTGAAAACGCGCATCATGGTCAACTCGGTTCGTTGAGCTGCCCCAACCCCGCGTCATTCTTCCAATGCGCTCTCGAAGGAGCGTGTGTTGCTATCAGCATCTGGTCTAATGGGCATCTGTTTTTGTCTCTGGGTCCATTAATTTTGGCATGACGCAGGACTCACGGGGCATGGGTGCCGTTTTGATGGAGACGTACCAGCGTGAGGGCATGGCAGCACTTTTCTCAGGCCTGGCTCCTCGTGTGGCCTGGATTACCATTGGTGGTTTTGTTTTCTTTGGGGCTTACGAGAGCTGTCGCAAGATGCTGACTCAAAAGCCCGCAGCATAGTGACTTTGCCGTTTGGCTTTCTTTTGGTGTTGTTTCTCCCCGAGCATTTCTCCCACCGCATCCCTGCCTGTTCCTCCTCCTCTTCTGCACTGCGCTCTTTGACTTAGATGTAGGCTTGATATTCTTTGTGGCGGGGGTTAGGGTTGGTTGGTTATTGCTTTTCAGCCTGAGAGGTTCGAGTGCGTGGTTTCGTTCCACGCTTTGCGTTGCCTCTGGCTGCCAGAACTTGCATTGCAAATCGATTCGGCCGTATACAGGATCTGGCCACTTGACTCGAATGGTGCATGTGTGTATTGACATGTGCGTTGAATCCTACAAGGCAGAAGCTACTGCTGCAATGGCATTGACATGAAGCTGAAAGAAGAGAGCAAAAAAAAACAAAAAAAAAACAAGAGGGCATTTAAATTCCGTTTAATGTGTTTCTTGTAGTGAGGCAGCCCGGCACAAACAACCAACTCTGGACGAGTGTGGGCGCTCCACTTTGAAAACAAGAGATGGAAAAAGGAGGGGGTCAGTCGGGTAAGGAAAAAATCTAGGAAAAGGTTCTACACAACAGCAGCTATTCCAGGGAGACAAGGGCAAAAACAAACGATTCTCGGGTTGAAAGGGTTCGAAGATGTCACTCCGGCGCAAGAACGATGTCGCATGGGGCCCAACAAGCAGTGCTGAGGGAAGCAGGCAGGTTCGATCGAACATTGAGAAAGCAGCAGGGAATACATCGAACGTCGCGCTTGAGCGTTGGCATCGGTATGGCCTTGAGTGGGAAGAGGGAAAAAAAAAAAGTGTGTCAGACACAAAGAGAACACGATGTGAAACAATGAAACAAACAATTACTCTTCTGGCTTTTGTTTAAAAACGGCACGGGCTGCGACAGCGACTGAAGCTGGTGCAGCACACGGATATGGGAGCTGGATAGAAAGGGTCCCACGGCAAGGTGGTTCAAACGAGATGGCTAAGAAGCTAAACAAGGTGATCACCGCGCGAGCCAAGCACGGCATGCCCCTCAGAAAAGGAGCGTTTGTGTCCCCGGGTAATGCCGCGCGCTATGCTGCTGCCCATTACGGGCAGTGCCGGCAGCGGGCTGGGGCTGGCTCCGGAAGGGCGCGGGCTGCTGGCCTTGTCGCGAGGGCTCATTTCGTAGGGAGGGGGGTTCAGAAGGCCGGACGTCTTGACGGTGTTGAGGAGCATGTTTGGGTTTGGCACACGTTTGCTGGCGGCACCCTCGCGGCAAGCGGCCAAGACCTCGCGCTTCATGCGTTGGCTCACGTAGAGCGTGACGATGCAGGCAATGATGAGCTGACCGGCCACGACGACGACATAGTGGGCATTATTTTGCCAATCCCCGGACATGACGTCCTCCATGGAGCGGACGGTAGTTCCAATGTAGACGTTTAGAGCAGTCATGGGAAAAAGGCCCGCGGCAGTGGCCAGAAAGTAGGCACGGCGGGAGAACTTTGCCGAGGAGAAGAGGGCATTTTGAAGGCCAAAGGGGACAAAGGTCAAGCGTGCCATGCAGACGATGCGAAAGCCCTGGTCCCCTTCGAGCACGCGGCTAATTTGCTTGAGATTGCTGTATTGGTCCTGAAGGCGGGTCACAATGCCCTTGAAGCAGTGACGGCAAGCCCAGGTGGCAATGATGGCGCCAATAGAGCCTCCAAAGACACACAGCAGGATGCCGTACCAGAGGCCATAGAGGTAGCCACCGGCCAGATTGAGAACGACAACGCCGACCATAAAGGGGAAAGCAACGAGGATGTAGGCTGCCAGGAAGAGGACGGGCCCACTCCAACCCGGAAGATGATCGATGGTGGTGAGGATGGTGGTCAAGTATTCGCGGCACAGGACAAAGGCTACAGCGGTTAATGTCAACAGAGCCAGCAACCAGGTTGCAATCTAATTTGATTTTTTTTTTTTTTTTTGCATGGCGTGGCAGGAGGGAAGGCCAGGGTGAGGATGGTGGGAAGGGGCCGAAAGGGAGGGAGAAGCACTGAACTTTCGTGGTCAGGTCTGGTGGGCGTGGGGCTCTAGGGCGCGGCCTACCTGCAAAAGACTACCACAACTGTTGGTGTAGGAGGAGTGACGGGAGATGCCTGCAGGGGTGAGGGACGTGGCGGGGCGGGTGCGTTCTAGACCAAAATTGTCCTCAAGTTCATGTTGGATGGGCTCGACAAAAGTGACGGCCCAGGTCTGTGACTGCGAGTGCGCCTGGGGCGCAGTTGCGCCTAGGCCCGACTCGCTGGGACTGCTCTTCATGATGCTTGCGGTGTCCATCCCAGACACGAGCGCAGAGGGCAGGGCCCACACGCCCGAGACCCTACTTGGTGCTGACACGTCCCCGAGGGCAAGCGGTTGAAAAGTGGCGCGGGCTCGCCCGTGCAAGAGGTGCGTCCCAGGATCAAGCTGTGGGTGATCAACGACGTATGCTCATCAAAGTTCAAACCAGACCCGTTTGTCGACCGGGACCCTGGTCTACCGATCGTCGTCGCTGTGGAGCGAGAACAAAAACGGTCAAGACAGAACGACGAGAACGACGGGGCAGAGGCTGACTGAGCTCAATCAACACCCCGCCTCCTCCTCCGCCACAACACGCAGATGCACAATCAGCACAATAATAATTTCAAAAAAACTGCGTAGAGATGAGATGAGAGATGAGAGAGAATGAGAGAGAGAGATGAGATGAGAGGAGAGAATGAATTGGTTTTGAGAGAGAGAGAGAGATGAGAGAGAGAGAGAGAGAGAGAGAGAGAGAGAGAGAGAACAAACACACACCCGTCTTTTGTTAGTGTGTTGCAACATCAAGTACTGTGTGGAGACGTACGTGTGCTGGCTTGGTGTGTCGTCGGTGTGCTGGTGTGCCTCGTTCTGTTGTCCCGGCCTTGTTTGGTATTTTGTTTTTGTGGAGGGGGGGGGGGGGGGGGGGAGGGGGGGAACTTAACCCCCCCCCCCCCTGG